TAAAGTAAAAAAATAATCATTTTATATAGTTGATTATTATTGTTATTATCAATTATTATTATTATATATTTAATATTGGTCTGAATTTTACAAAATAAAATTTATATATATTACAAATTATATATGTTTGATGTGAAGTGTGAGTGTTGTGGGTGTGTGTGTCAGAGAGAAGATAGAGAGAGTGAGTGTGAGTGTATGTGAGAAACAAAAAATGAGTGTTGGTTTTGAATTTTTTGTTGAATTTTACATTTTGCTTAAAAGTGGTTATTAATCTACGGGTCAACAGTAAAACCGTGGTTTGCAACCAATTTTCTGAAGATAAAAAGAATTCTTAACAAAACATGGTTATGTATAAATTCAAATTTCCTTAATCAGATTTACTTTAAAAATAATTACTATAAAATTTATGTATAAATATAAATTTCCTTAAAAAGTAAGATTTGTAACCACGTTTTTTGTTAATTAAAAGCGTGGATTGTACCACGCTTTTAAGATTTTACAAATTGTCCGCGGAGGGCCACAAAAACGATGAAAGCGTGGTTTGTATCCCGCTTTTACCTAGTTTAGGAATTCTGTCCAAACTAAGCCTACTTTGGGAAATAAATTACTATTTTGCCTTAATTTGGGAAAAGCCCCTAATTTGGGCAATGATTTTAATTGTACGCATGTAATGGTAACAATTTAAAAACACTTATTTTGAAGATATTTTAATAAATCTTGATCTATTTTTTTAGTATTTCGATAAACTAGACAGATATATTAATAATTTTGAATGTAAAGACATTATGAAGATTCTTCTTTTATTTTCTGTTCATATAATTTTATAGTATAATTGTATCAAGTATTATATTTATTCAATGCGATGACAAAATTGGACAAGTCATACAAAAATCTTAAATCAATAGTGTAACTTTTTCTATGAAATTATTTTTTTTTTTCATTGAGTTGAAATAACTCGACTGATTTTTGTATGATTTGTTCTTAATTTTTATTTTCAAACATTGTTCACGTAATTTTTTAAAATTGGTGGTCCAATTAGTGAGATTACTTTTTTTTTGCTCAAGCTTCTGCCATTAGGGATCTTAAGGACAAAGTGGATTTGGTAGGTTATTCCTATGAGATTATTCCTTAGGGAAATAACCTCATATGGAATAACATAGGAAATAACTTAGGGAAATAACGTAAGAAATAACTTAAATAAAAAATTAATGAGCTCTCATAATTTTAAGCAATATAAATAACATAACAAAAAAATTATCGACCTGAACCGAGTAAAACTTGAGTTTCATTATATTAATGAACTCTCATTTGTGTTAAAAATTAGGTATGGCTCTTCAGATCTCAAGTTGAACTCTCAGTATGTGTCATGTTTATAGGTATTAATTGAGATTTGTCGGATCTACGTGGAATGGACGTTTGGTGTGGATTGTAAGATTAGTCCATAAATACGTAAACTGATTCAGACATCCGACTATCATAAATAGTTAAAACTTAATTGAATAGCATAATGCAGGCACATAGAGAATAAGTCAATTGGATAACTCAAGTGGGTAAAAATTAATCGAGAATGAGTCATTTTATAAATAAAAATATTTTAATTTTTTGAAACATAATTTTTAAACAAATTTTTTTATTTATATCAAAATGTTTTGATAATAGCATTTTCCAAGACGACTTCAAAGGCCTCTTTTGGCAAAGAGGTAAAAAGTCATTTTTTGACTTCTAATTTTTTGTGGATCACCTCTAATGTTTATATCAAATTTTTTGTGGATCAAATTTTTTGACCTCTAATGTTTATATCAAAATTTTTTGTAAAAATGTCATTTATTATATCAAATTTTTTGACTTCTAATGTTTTGGTAATTTTTGGCAAAGAGGTAAAAAGGCATTTTCAGTATTTTTTTTACACGTTTTGTACTAGTTATAGTGGCCTAATGATGAAGCTGAAGAGATAAGCGAAAGAATAAAAGATTTAACCAGATCGACAGGACTAAGAAAGCAATCAGAAATTAAATTTTAATTCAAAAAATATAGACAGGATTCACAATTCAAAATTCAAAACCTAATTTGTAAAAATAGATAGGATTCACAGTTCACAACAATGCAATAAATTATATACAGGATTAACAATTCAAAACCCAAATTCCTAAACCATAACCCTAATTTCGGTTTCACAATTGAAAACCCTATAAAATTATTGTAATTCACAATCAGAAGAACGTCGTCAACGACCATCTTGGGGTTTCACTCAGACAATTCGCGGCGAAGGACACGGCCACCCTCTCACAATTGAAATTTTTCTCCCCTTTCCCTTTAATTTTTCTCCTCATTTCTTTTTGGCTGAACTTGCTTTTCTTTTATGCCAAACATCCCCTTATACTTCCCATAATAGAGAAAGAAAAAATGATATATGATCAGTTGGATCTATGGACTCGGGATAATTAGTACTAGACTAACCATGACACTTTAAACATAAGTTCCTTGTAATTCAATTTTGTAGACACTGATATATATTATATGATTCTATTTATTTTTTTTTTAATATATCGTAAATATTGTTAGGCTGTGCTTAATTTATTGGAATAAAATAAAAGGAATGGCATGATTATTCCTTAAATATGTTTTGATTAAAAGAAAAAAATTTGTGGAAAGTGAAAGTGAAAGAAAAAAATAATAATATTTGGAAATTTTTGAAAGAAAGGGATAGAAAATTTTGAAATTTTAATTATAGATAATTTTTTTTATAGACAAAATTAGATTTTCTTGTGTTTTGCCATTTTTTTTTCCAAGAAATTATAAAGTTAGTTACGATAAATAATTACAAGAAATTATTATTATTATAGATAATTATTTGGTTCCTAAAAATTATTTGTTCCTAAAAAAAATCATATAACATTATCAAAAAATTTTAACTTATCATAAATTTCTTAAACCCTAACTTCTGAAACCATAACCCTCATTTCTGATTTCACAATTTAAAACCCTAACCCTAATTGAAAAATGATTTCACATTCATCAATTCAAAACCCTAATTCAAAACCAAAACCCTCATTTCTGATTTCACATTCAATAGAAAACCATAACCCTCATTTTCTCATTTCAAACATAATATTTAAATTTTTCTAAACAGATTCAACATTCAATAGATTTCACATTCAACAGATGTCACATTGAATAGAAATCTGATTTCACATTCAATAGAAATCAGATTTCACATTCAACAGATTTCACAATTATAAACAGATTTCACATTTCTGAACAGATTTCACAAATTTTTAAACAGATTTCACAATTCAAAACCCTAATTTCTCAAACCGTAATCGTAATTTCTGATTTCACAATTATAAACCCTAACCCTAATTTATTATTTCTGATTTCACAACATTTTCACATTCATGAACCCTATTCTACCAACATTATACCCACATTCATGAACCCTATTCTACCAACATTATACCCACATTCATGAACCCTATTCTACCAACATTATACCCACATTCATGAACCCTATTCTACCAACATTATACCCACATTCATGAACCCTATTCTACCAACATTATACCCACATTCATGAACCCTATTCTACCAACATTATACCCACATTCACATTTTCACAAATACAAAAAACGCATTAAAATAGATCAACAGAGAGAGACAGAAGCCATACCAACGAGAAAGAGCACAGAGAGCGACAGTACTGAAGCAGAGGGAGCTCGAGCACAGCGACAGAGAGAGAGCAGGGATCGAGAGAGAGAGCAGGCAGCGAGAGTGAAAGGTGTTGTAACAAGCGTGATTGCAAAAGACGGGGCTGGGGAGATTTTATATAAGTTTTAAAAGCATGGTTACAAACCACGCTTTCACTTAAAGAAAAAAATCGTATAAAAAGCGTGGTTCACAAACACGCTTTCAGAAGAAAAAAAAAATTTGCCAAAAAACGTGGTTCATAACCACGTTTTCAGAAGAAAAAAATTTAAGCTAAAAGCGTGGTTCGTAACCACAATTTCAGAAGAAATTTTTTTTGTTAAAAGCGTGGTTCACAACCGCGCTTTCAGAAGAAAAAAATATAAGTGAAAAGCGTGGTTCAGAACGGCGATTTCAGAAGAAAAAAATTTAATTAAAAACGCCTTTTGTAACCGCGCTTTCTTAATTAAAATTGCGTTTTGTAACTACGCTTTTAAGACTTCACAATTTTCACGCGGGACAGGCACACAGACGTGAAAGCATGGTTGTGAACCACGTTTTAGCTTATTTTGGAAAATCTTTCAAAACTAGGCTTAGTTTGGGAATTAAATTGATAATTTGGCTTATTTAGGGAAATGGCTCTATTTAGGCCTCGTTTGGAAATAAGCTAATTTAGTAACTTTTTTGCTATTGGCTAAAATATGAATTAAAAAAAACTAGTATGTTTGGGATGACTTTTTATTTTTTACGAAAAGATGTGCAAAAAGTAGAGAGAAAAGAAAATCTAACTTTTTGGTATGAGTTGTTGCCTTTTTGACTAATTTAGTAACTTTTTAACTTTTTAGCTAAAAAAAAAAATTCCCAAACGAGGCCTTAGTAAAGTTAAAATCAAACTTGATTTCCCAGATAAAAACTAACTCCATCCAACTTAAGCTCATTTGATTATTTTAATTAATTTTTATTTTTTTTTAAATATGTAAAAAAATAAAAAAAGTAATATAATAATTTTATTTATTTTTTAACCATTTTAATTAAAAATAACCAACTCCATTGGATAAAACTTAAGGTTTAATTTAATTTGATTATTTTAACTAAAAAATCACATGCCAAATAATGGCTTATTTAAGTAATTTTGGACTCAACTAGTAAACAATAACTGCATCAAAAACTGCACCAAAAATACTAGACAGGCTCCAAATATTTTTTAGACAAAAGCTATAACCCTATTAAGTTGTACCAAACATTGCATTGCCCATCCCAAGTAAAAATAAAATAAAATAAAATAATTATGATATATCAGTGGGACTCAACTGAAAAAATGAGAAAGAAAAACATAAAAGTGAAGATGCATTGGCTTATGAAATTTACACGGCAACTGCTTTCAACAAGAGCCATCAACCTATTAAGAATGTACATTTCTCACCCTCAATCCCCCCACACAAAGCACATTTTTTTGGGAACAAAAAAATTAAAATGCAAAATCAAGTCGTAAAAATTTAAAGGGGGAAATAGAAAAGAAAACACAATCAAACCCCTCCACTTCTCTCATTTTATAGCAAACCTTCCCTCAACCCTTGGTAACATGATAGCCAAACTAATGGATCAATAAGACCTTCCTCAACCAGGAATTTAGATCAAAAAATTTTAAAAGATATTCTTCTTGATTTTACATATGAACATTTCAATGTGTCAGTCAATGTCCGAAGTCCTCACTCCCAACACCCACACTTGACTTGTCAACCATGCGCACGTTGTACTGTTCGTATACTCTTGCCCGGTTCTCCGCCCACCATTGTTCCGCTTGTTTCTCACTAAACCGCTTCCGACTGCATCCAAACAGTTATAGGCCATGTTAAAATGAATATCTTATCAAACTTCTTTTACCAAAATATGGCATTATTTGGTATCATTGCTAGTTTTCTGGTTTTTTTTTATTTATTTCCAAAGCAAGGAATCGTGTTATTTATTTATTTTATTTTATTTTATATTTTTGTAAAAAATTTATTAAAAAAAAAGGAAAACAAAAAAGTTAGCAAATAAAATGTTTGGTACACATTTCCAAAACAAAAACAAGAAAACATATTGTGTGAGTTGCAAGAGGGGGGTGAGGATGGAATAACCAGAGGGGAGTTGCCGGAGTAAGAATGACCAAGGCTATTTTCATTAACAGTATTCAAAATTTTTGAAAACAAAACCAGAAAAACAGAAATAAGAAACGTTACCAAACTGGCCCCAAAATGAAGTTATCATTAACAACCAATAACTATGAGGTTTAACTTCCAATATGCTGTGCAACAAAGGAAAACAGTAAGACTTTATGCTCTTCTTGTGGCTCTATGAACGATTGAATATTGTTAGAACAAAAAGGAAGTGGCAAAATATGGTTGGTATACAAGAAACCTTTGTCGAACTCAAGAAAATCCAACTCCATTAATCACCATATCCATTTCAATGACTGTGCCAATTGATCTCTTATTAATTCAAGTCACATAATCAGTCCCTGGGTTAAATTAAATTTATATCATCACTAGTTTACCTAAATTCAATCTTTATGCATAGAAAAATATCTGTGTAGCAGTTGCAAAAGATTCTAGTAGGTATTTCAAGCACAAGAAGCTAGGTTTGATTAAAATGATATTTGGAGAAGAATAGATACAAACATACCTGAACCGTACTCGCTTAAGATCTTTAACACCACCAGGTAAGGAGGTAAGCGTGATATAAACACCTGGCTCGTCTTGCTCAACCCATTCATTGTCATTACGAGAATCACCTTCTTTAGTTCTGCCACCATTTCTGGTTGTTGTTTCTGACTGGCCTTGTCTGTTGTGGCCTGAACTGCGGTTACCAGCAGTGATTGACCCATTAGAAATCACTTGGCCGTTTGATCCATTCAAATCTGGTTCTTGGAATGTTGCTTGACCATTCAATTGATCAATAGAAGCAATAGGAACTTCGTTGGAAATGAGATTGAAGCCAAAGGAACCAAAGGAAGGTGATTTTATATTCCGGGATGCTCCCACAGGCAGCCTTTCAGCCATCTCCTTCAGCTATTTTGCATACAAAAATAAATAAATAAATGAGTTGCCTCACTAATTGGTTTTAGAAGTAGTGAGAAAACAAGTTTGTTGCTAATGGGAATGGAAGACAATAGCAGACCACTAATATCTTCAAATAAAGACATTTCAAATAAAAAAAAAAATTTATATTACTGACAATGTTATTAGGCATAAACTTATAAGTGAGATCTCTCTCTCTCTCTCTCATGTGTCTGAGACAGAAAATACCCCATTCCCTTAATCCCGTGGATCAGATTCATACGCCTGATCTTCAACTGAGATATTTATTTCCCTCCACATAGGACCAACCTATTGCTCATGGTCCAATAATACTTCAGAATGTTCAAACTCCATTAAAAGTTTTTTTGCTCAAAATAAGTCATCATTTTATTGTGCAAATAACCTTAGCATTCCTTATTTTGGTCAAATAAGAAGGGGAATTCATATAAAGCCACAGCATGAATGGAAAGAAGCCACTTAACTGTCAAGGAATAAAAAGTTCGTTCAAATTTTCTAATTTCCTAACCACAAAAAGACATAAAAAGTGAATTCAAGCATTAATGATCAGCTACTTTCACATGCTTCATAGGAACATTTAACACAGTTTTGTTATCCTGCTATTGCTGTCATGAGTGTCATTGTGTCATACTTGGGGAAAGTTGTGAAAAACCTATATGCTCCATAAAACCCTAAATGTGGCCAGCCACTTTGTGCAAATAATGCCAAAGGTTAGGTATGTACCCAATCTACCCTTCCCAGACCCAATCCAATTGGGACTAAACTGGATGTCCTCTTTGATAAGACATGCAATCAATCATTGCACTTGTCATATACAATTAATGCACACAATAAGCATTCATCTTACTTGGGCAGTGAGTGACTTGATCACTTCCTTTGCTGCTTTGCATTTTGCTGCTTCATCCTCTGCATTTGCCATTGCCTTCTCTAGCTGCTTAGCAGTTCTTTCCAACTCTACTTCTTGAAGTTGAGCTTTCCGGGTAAGATTTTCCACCTAAGGTAAAGATTGGTCAGACAACACAAAAGAACAGTCCAACATTGTTTGAAACTGAGTGATAAATTATGGGAAAAGGAGATTTTTGTTTGTCTACAGACAAATCACATCTTCTATACATCAGAGAAAATCTTTTCGAGTAGTTCTCTAACCAAATATCAACTCATATTATTAGATTGGAAGTTAACTCCACCTTTTTAATCCTAAATTTTATATCATTAACTACCAGGAAATCCTCTTTAGAGAAACATTTAAACTTACAGCCGATGAAGATATGGCTGGAGAAATAGCTATGCCCCTTGCCAAAGTAAACAAAAGAAGATAAAAAAAAAAAAAAAAGAGGACAAATTAAAGTTCAAAAGGTTTGCATTTAACTCTTGAACTTCATTTAGAACTTCATAGACCAGCTCCTACAACACAAACTTTGGATTATATACCATGTATCACCACATATATTCACCAGAACGTGTATATATGCACTCGTTTGCATGCACACACAAACCCAAAGAAAAGATGTGGACACCAACAGCCTAACCGTTCCCATAATGTCAGTCATCCCAAGAAAAGAAAGGCATTTATAAAAAAAACTTTGTTTCTATGGATTATTAGGCACTGTTCCTTCACCTTTTCCACCAATTAGTACACCACTATTCCCATTGCTTCATCAAACTTCAAATTGAAAGAAACATTGCCAACAAATTACAGAAGCAGATGACTGTCAAGCAAGATAATACTAGTACCTGTTGTCTTAATCTAATAACTTCTTGGCTAAGGCTATCATTTGTTCTCTTAGCATCATCCACAACAATTTTCGGAGAGGTAAGTCCACCCAGAGTAGGTGTTGGTGTCGTGGAACGAGGTGGGCTCGGTCGTCTTGATATCGGCGACGTTGCCCGAGATACAATTCTGGACCCAGGTACAGAAGCTGAGAAAAACTTCTTGGATGAGCCAAACATTGGATTAAATGATTTAGAGATGTTAAGAGCCCCCCATTGTGAATTCCCATTTGGAATAGGTGACACACGACTACTGTTGAATTCTGGTTTCTTGTTTCTCTTGGAAGACCGACTTTCCACTTGCTTGAAGGACTCCATGGAGGAAAATCTAGCAAGCTGAGGACGAGATCTGTAATCCAGCTTCTCGTCTTTTTCAATTAGTTCATTCATGCTACCTCTTCTACTCACAGAAGACTGGGATGAAGCATCAGTTTCAATGGCTTTCTTCAGTTTACTAAAACAAATATCACAAACCCGATAAGGTTTGTTGGGGTTCGGCGCCATAGATGCCTTAAGTGATTTCTTGCTGCTACACGAATGACAGAAAACAAGTCCACAATTATAACAATTATGACGTTTTCTTTTGAAATTAAATGGCAGACGGCAACCAGAACACATAGACTGATCAACCCCTGAAACCCACTTATGAAGACAGATAGCCACAGTAAAATTAGTACCGCAAGCAATGCTTTTGACTTGCTTGTCTTTCAGAGCTTCTACTAAAGTAGGAGAATTTCTATCATCTGTATCACCATGACCCAATCGACCATTTGCTCCCTTGCCCCAAGTGTAAACTTCAGTTTTTTGAGTTAAAACTGCAACATGATAGGCTCCACAAGCTATCTCATCCACGAAACTCTTTATGAGCTTTCCTTCAATACGAGCGGGGAGCTTCCCATCAGCTTGAACATTTCCAAGCTGGCCATAAACAGGACTACCCATTGTGTAGACATGGCCTGAAGTTGTGAGTGCAGCAGTCAGGCTATGCCCACATGCAACTTGGCGAAAGTTGGGCTCAACAAGAGCAGCAACACAGGTAGGCACAAGTTTTGTTTCTTTGTCACCATGTCCAAGTCGATTTTTATCCCCATCTCCCCAAGTAAACAGTTTTCCTGAAGAGCAATTGCTGGAACTTGAATTCCCAACCATGATTTCTACAACTGCAGCAGTATGCCAAACACCACAAGCTGCTTGTACAGTCCGAAGACCCTTAAGGGACTCAACTTCCCTGGGTATTGAAACACTTCTTCGATCTCCATGACCCAAAACGCCAAATGTTCCATCACCAAAAGTAAACAATTGGCCAGCAGAAGTCACAACAGCAGTATGCCAGGGCCCACAGGAGATAGATGAAACATGAATACCCTCCAAAGGCCCATTCACCTTTTTTGGGACCCAATGACTCACTTCATTTCCATGCCCAAGAAGACCAAAATGGCCTTCGCCCCATGTGTACAGATCACCAGAAAGAGTTACAGCACAAGTATGGTGCTCACCACATGCTACAAGCTCAACGTTTGTTTGGCTGAGAGCATCAATGAGCTTTGGATGCAAAACATCAGAATCTACACCATGCCCAAGCCTGCCACCCGATTCCTCCCCCCAAGAAAAAATCTCTCCTTGTTTGGTTACTAAGGCAGCATGTTGTCCACCACATGCTATATTTTGAACATCAAGCACTACGGCGGACTCCAATGCTTTAGGCAACGACGAGTCCATTTTAACACCAAAACAACTCCCAACCTTGTGAAGTCCACCACCGAGAACACCATCCCCAGTGCTTTCCCCCCAAATGTAAACATCCCCCAAGGCATCGCCATCATCATGACCAGAACCTTGGCTTGATGAGCTAACAGCACTTGATAGGCTTACTCTAAAAGCATCCATTCCCATTGCTTTCATGTGACCATGTACACTATCTGAGCCTCCAGACGATGCAGAATGGACAGAACCACTAGCAGAGTCCGGGGGGAAGAAACCCTTGGGTGGCACAGCATATAATATTACATCCGAAAATCCCTTATCCAGACCATTTTTGGGGGGGCTTTCATATGGACTATGAATGCGAAGCTGATCACTATCCTGAATTGAGCAACAAAGATTCTCTTAGCTGGCATTCTTAAGGAGAACTGTGTCCATGTGCATTTGTTTTTACATACACGTGCCTATGTGTGTCTCAAGGTGAACTTTCTGCATGTGTGCAAAACTAGAAATCATACCTTCTGCAAGCTATCACCACTACCAAATGGAGAGTTCAAAGGAGAACTTCTTCGAGTGTATGTTCGGGGACTATTAGCTTCAGATGGAATACCTTCACTCCTTGATTCTGTTCTCCACTTCCGTTGATGGCCACGTGAAATTAATGCTTTTAAACCAATAAACCATTGCTCAGCTTCATCTTTATCTTTACAAATCTGGAATGAAAGTCATTTACCAAATTACAAATAGAGTAAAATATTTATCCATACAACTCTAAAATAGCAGGAGAGAATTGGTATTTTAGGAAGATCGTTGCAGCAACTGAAAATTAAGAAGGAAATGGATATGTCAAATGAGATGCTTACCAAATCCAGCGACCTGTCGTTATATATAAGAGAGAAGGACTGGTACTCCTTCTCAGGCCGTGGATACCTTTGAAAGATTGGCTGAAAAATATTACACGATGAAATCAAATTTTAGGGCCGTAATTTAGTCAGTCCATATCAGGAAGAATTTATGTTTTATTAGAAGAGCTGAAACTAAGTCTACAAATAGCTACTCACACGACCATTGTAAAACAAACTTAATGAAAAGATTGTTGCACACAGCAATTGTTTGACTTCTACATAAGTTAGCATTATTCTGGATCTTAAATCAGCTTTTAGATTAGCCTCAGCAAATGCATGGTTTAATAAATTGACAAACTGGAAAGTGTTGGGAGATACAACTCTGCAAGCAAAATAGAGGTCATGCATGTAGCAACTTCATCTTAAGGACGAAACATTTTGCATACCACAATATAAAGGACAAGTATCCTGGAACAATGTTTATCAAATGGCTACTTATGGTGGTCAGTGGTTTTCTTTGACACTGATTAACAATAAAGAAACAAATGGCCATTTCATGGTAAAAGCTCAGGATGTCAAGCTTGAGAACAGGTTTGAGTTAAGGGAAGCCACTTCATGTGAATAAAACCAGAAAGTAGGTTTGTACCCTGTCTACCCAACCCAGCCTCAAAGAAAGAAACCCAAATGCAAAAATCAATCAGTTCTCTTTTTCTTCCTTTTTTGATAGGTATCAACAAATACTCCTTAGACTTATATTCATTATACCACATAATTTATTTTTCAATAGCAGTGAATACCAAGTGCCCTTGTCTTCTGTGAAGTTTCCTTAATTACATTATGAACTACCCAGAATTTCCTATGTTTTTTGATATTCCACAAGAATTGCCTCCTAATACTACTCAGCAAGGAACCTTCTATTTTAGATTCCTTTTTAAGTCAACAAAACTCTTGCGATCCCAGTTCGTTTTAATATACTTCATGTCCAAGATATGATTGAATCTATGTCAATCCAAAGTAAAATAATCCAAATTGAAGGTCAAAATCAAAATAGACCACTGCACACAAAGGGAAGATTAGTTTTTTTGGGTTTTTTAAGCTTGTAGAAAAACTATCCATTTGAGATGTTTACCCCACTTTGGCTAAGTTTGGCATCTTCAAAAAAAAGTCAAAAAGTCACTATCCTATTTAAGTCACTATCACCTCTCTACCACATCACTTCAAACCCAACCTATATTTCATAAAAAGTCAAAAAGTGCACTTATTTAGAACATCCCAGTATTCTAAACCTTTGTTAGACATGTTATATAACCTCATAAAAGAGTAAATTGCCTTGTTGGATACTGCCATGGAATAAAATTCAATAACAATAAGAAAATGAGATGAACACAATCAATTGCGTTAAGAAAGCATACATCCCAAGTACTCGACTACGGCTATAAAAGTCCTTTTTTGACGATCAGCTCTACTCAAAGAAAGCCTGTCTAGTTAAGTTTGACAAACAAACATTCAATAAAAAATACTATCCAATCCAACACTTAGCAATGCTAACCCACCATAATCTATAACCTAATCTTTATATTTTACTGTGCTCCTATATAACATAGGTTATATCATGGAGGCTGCAATTTTTCCCAAGTTGTTTCACTTAGGTTTTGCACTAAGCAACACATGTCCTTGAGCCCAACAACTAAGGAGGCCCATGCTTATTCTGAGCCCATGATCGGAATAGGTTATATTAGAATAAGAAACTAAATACAATGAGATAATGATCGCAGCTGAGTGACAAAGAAAAACATGTCCAATCTTTAATCCTGGCCACTAGAATAGAATATAAGGTTGTCCAACCAAGAGATTGTGCCTAAAGGTCAAGCTTTTTGCAACCGATGGCCTATAATAGCAAGATCATGGAGCAATGCTTTCATCCTGGCAATTGACAACCTCAACACCCGCGGTTTACTAGAAATTCAAGTATTGGCCCTAAACACACAGAAGAAAGACTGTGCCTTATTAGCAAGAATTGACATAATTCAAATGTCCCTTAAAATCGCCTAAGCTTATGTGAACAAACCACTGTATGTTGTTTGACTCGGACTGTTAACCATTGCAAGCGAGGTAAGTTTGTCTCAGGGCTTGATGCCATGCACTTTTTCCTGCCCTTTTAACTGAAACACTCAAGGCATCCTGCTCAGCTTTACACCCAAAGCCTTGGTGTATAGGTGGCCCCACAGCCAAGGTCACATGCTTTGCGCCATGCCTTACTGCCCACAAACCCTCGCACACATGACTTAATAGGTAAATATTTGACTGTTCAAAAGGTATAAACAAAGTTATTTTCCACATTACAGATTTAAAAAGGCCATGTAAAATGAGAAGGGAGGGTGTAGAAAAAATAAGCACGTTTTTTATAAGTTAAATGTTTAGTTATTAAATCATTAAGTGCAGAAAAAATTCATTCACACCAGTAAGTATAACAGAAATATTTGTTTGGCATCTCATACTTAATAGCAGCATAAATTTTTGTTTGGACAGTAAAAGGGAAACAAGATTCTCTGTCCATAACTTCGAGGAAAAAGATGTTAACATATTACAATGTCACCATAAAACAACAGTAGCCCAATTGTTTGCAAACTAAAACAAATGAACCGAAGTACGACACACTGTCAACTTTAAATGATTGGAGAACTTATATCATCAATCACTCTAATCCTATTAAAAGATTTAAAAAATGAAATTTAAAAGATATATTACTGATGGCTAAGGAATGGAGATCAACAAATATATATATATATAGTTAAAGCATACAAGAGCCTAAACTACATATATAGTTCCGCTTGTATCATATTCTTACATGGCCACAAATAAATTGGACCAAATTACCTGATGTAAAGACAAAGCTTTTCCCTTTGAGACCACATGCTTTTAATAATACCAAAGTAAGCCTTGTGTCTCACTCTAGTGGAGTCAGATATACGAATTTGTTTTGACCATTTTGCTCTGTCAAGGGCTACATGCTTTTAATTATCTAAAGAAAAAAGATTAAGATCATGACCATTCTACCCCATGTTTATAGATTGAAATGTAAACTCGTATGACCTTTTGAAAATTATTAAAAGCATGTGGTCTTCTTAAGGGAAAAAGTTCATCATTACATCAAAAAAAAATTATTTATGCTATACATAGGAAGAAAAAATTAGCAATGATGTTATTTCCAATTAAAGCAAGATGAACTACGTGGAAGAGTACTTAAAAAATTAGGACAATTCTATTAGATGAACATATCCAACCAATACTAAACTTATTGAGGAGTCCAAGAAAAAATCATGAAATGGTAGGAGTAGCATCAATTGAAGAGAAGTTGAGAGATAACAAACAAAGATAGTGTGGTCAAAAAAAAAAAAAAAAGCATCACTTGAGGATAAATTGACAGAGAATAGATTAAGGTGGTTTAGACACCTACAACGAAGACTTGCAGATACAATAGTAAGAAAGAGTGATATAATCATTATAGATGAAAATATTAGGAGACAGGAAGACCTAAACTAACATAAGATGTGGTAGTAAAAAAGGATATGGATTTATTTAATTTAACTAACTATATAGCCCTTGACATAGCAAAATGATAGAAAATGATCTATGTAACCGACCCCATCTAAGTGGGACACAAGGTTTAGTTTGGTTTGGTTTAGTTTAGTTTGACAACAACAACAACAACAACAACAACAACAAAAAACCATGATTTGTGAGATAAAATGTTGAATCGCTAAGAAACATGTTCATAAAATTATCGTGGCTAAAATGCAAACGTTGAGATGGATGTATGGTAAACCGAGAATAATAAAATTAGGAATCAATGAATGGATCCACAAAAAGCACAAAAAGTTGACTTGGATAATTTGGCCATGTGCAACAATGATCAATAAGTGCACTAATAAAGAAGAGTGATGATGTTCAGATTACAAGTAATGTGCGGGGAAAAGAGAGAGAGACTAAACTTAACATGGGCTACGATAGTAAGGAAAGATATTGTAGCATGCTGTTTAGTTTAAGTTATGGCGAGATTACTGTAGCTGGCACCAAATAATTGGAACAAGGCTTAATTGAGTTGAGTAGAGTTGAGTTAAATTGAGTTGAACTCAAAAGGATATCTCACATTACGATGTTTCGATTTCAATACTAAATTTATAGTGATCCATTGTCTATCATTGGCTTGCAACATAGGTAAGGCTATTTGCCCCATACACTGGCAACATTGCAAATCAATTTGCAATTACTACAAGTGAAATAGTCCAACAGGAGATCTATTTTGATCTTTTTCCTTACACTGGCTTGCATCATATGACAATTTATACACTAGCAACATTGAAAGCCAATTTGCAACAACTAAAGTGAAATAGTCCAAAAAGAGATTTTTATCTTTTTCTTGGGTAGGTAGTGGTGGTGATAAACGTACATCAAAGTAGAATCTAATTTAACATATAATTGAGAAATTTAGTAGGATGACATCGAAAAGTAGACGAGTCTATAGGGCAAATAGCAAATAAAAGAAAATTATTAGCCTATTTTAATGGTTTAGAAAATGAATAAGAGCGGGGTAAAAAGCCAACAAGATAAAAAAAATAATGCAAAACACGATACGCTTGAGACACGTTAAAATTTTATATTTTTATTAATTTATTATATGTCAAATATATGAATAGTTTATTCGAAAGTAATAGGAAAAAAGTAACATAACACTAATTAAATTAAAAAGGCATATATTCCATAAATAAAACATCAAGATATCATTCACGTAGTAATTGCATTCTAGAGAATGCAAAACAATTGTAAAACATTGAAATATGCATGATGTATTAGTCTTATAAATGTTTCAAAACATATTTAGAGTGCATAAGTTGCATTAACATTATTACTATAAAAAGATTCATCACATTGGATGGTTCATTCTTGTTGCCAAAGTGTCCGAAAAGTGTTTGTAAAGTGCCCAATATTACAAATTAAAATTTTAATTAAGGCACGTTGAAAAAGTGTCGGAACACTTTTAAGAGCATCTGCTAAGTGTCATGTCCGACATTACATGCTTCCTCCATAGAAATGTCCGTGCTTCTTAGCATAGCACTGGGGAACTGCGATTATTACATTATCACAACTTATCCAAGCACACAAAAACCATTATCAATTACAATGGTGCAATAAACAAACAGATTCTGCACAGAGTAAAAGAACTCAAGGGTACCAAATTACATTAGTTAGGGCAGAATGGTGGAAAAATAGGTATGCCATTTATTTCTCATGGATGCTGCAATAAGATGAGGATTATGTAAAACTTCGGCAATCTAACACTCTACTCCTTAGTTGCAAGAAGCGGGAGCGGGAGCGGGGTCGGAATCGGAGAATCGTAGACATTCCAAGAAGCGTTGGTAGGGAGCGTTTGTATATATATATATATATTAAATAATATAATACATAAAAATATATTGTAAGATTATATATTTTTTTCCTCTAATGATAATGAAAATATATGTTATAATTTTTTTTTTAAAAAAAATACTATAAAAAATCATATGTTAAAGTATTATAATTATATACTTTTATTCGATTTTTTTCATTTATTATAAAATATTTATTCTAAAATATTTATATTAATTTTTTTATCTATTTATTTTAAAATGTTTTTGTTAAAAATTATTTGTTTTATTTATTTTATTACAAAAATAAAATAAAAGGAGAGAGAGGGAGAGGAGAAGAAAAACAATCCCAGGCCCAACTCTCCTATTTATGATGCAAACAAATCATCTAGTAACCCAAACAATAAATAAAACAGGTCACAAGCCCAAACAAATGTTTGTATGGATCCAAAAACAATCCCAAGCCCAATAAAAATTCCCAAGCCCAACTTTTATGTTTATAGCTTACAAGCCCATACAAATGTTTGTATGAGTCTAAAAAAAAATCCCAAGCCCAATAAAAGTCCCAAGCCCAACTCTTATGTTTATAATTCCCAACCCTAGCAGCTGCTGCTTCTTCTTCACATGCTTCTTCGCAGCCTGGTATGTTTCTTCTTCGCAGCATAACCCTAGCAGTAGTAGCTGCTTCTTCGCAGCCGGGTTTCTCTCTCTCTCTCTCTCCCTCTCTCTCTCCCCTTCTGTGTCGCCATCGCTCCCATCTAGTTAGATCCGCGATTCTATCTTGACGGAGACGCGATTCTTTCACGAATCTTGCTACGAATCGCAGAATCGTGATTCTAGACGAGAATCGTCTCCCATTTCGACGATTCCTGCTACTAAGCTCTACTCAGCCCCACTGTAGACTTCGACATCAATGAATATTTACTATTCCTTCACAAGCTTTAAAGTGTAGATAGAGTAGTTATACAATGATATTGTCATCACAGCAAGAAACTTACAGTGCGCTGCCCTGAAATGATTTTAGACACATGACTTAGTTTGAGGTGTTTCTCCTCTTTCCCCGAGAACCATATTAGTACAGATTCATCCTGAAAGCAATAACACCACAGGTTGTAAATAATTTTAGCAGTGAAACTCTACTTTCAGTGAAATACAAATCAAGGAAGCTATTGTTTGTCAATAACACAACTAATGGCAGGTGATTGAGTATTAAAATAATTCGAAAATGAATATAAAAGTAAGCATATACATAAGACAATTATATATAGGAGGAAATATGTGTATCCTGTATTACATAAAGTCAAAATGAAAATAAAACAACATGATTCATCAAGCATTCGCATTCAATTTTCTGACAAGCCAGTTTGCTTCCATCTTATAGTTTAGGGGGAGTGATTCAACAACCTCTTTTGCAATTAGGCAAGGCAATAAGGTGTTAAATGGTGGGAGTGAAAGCATAAAAGGTTCACATGACTTGTGAGAATAAATATTATATTTGGCATGATAGAATGTGATTGCCAACCAGAGAAACGTGGTGTACAAAACTGCTACAGAAGGTAATTCACTACGGAGGTTAGAGTTACAACCACCAATCAACATGAAGATTTATTCCTATCCCAGTAACAACGAATAAGAAAAATTGCCAACATAAACCAGTTGAGTAATTATAATTAACCTGCACAACAACCAGTTAACATAAAAGCTACTGAATTTTAAACATATCACCACCATGTTTTTGTTTTTGCCTACATTTTGGGCATGTTCATAAGCAAGATTTCAACCAAATAGTACAGTGCAAAAAAAAGCATCTTTTTATAAATTATCAAAAACAGAATAATTATTATAAATGGTCCTCGGTTCCAGTCAAGATTCAGATGTTAGCAAGATCACAAACATTTATGGGTATAATAGATGCCATTGCTGATTAAGAAACAAGCTACCAAATTTACAAGTATCACCTTGTGTTTTGGACTACAGTATCCTGCATGCATTCGCGGCAATACTCTGACATTTTGAAAGGTAACTGACAAATAGTTGCATAAAGACATAACTAATCTTTGGGTCACTATAATAGGAGTATGGACATAAATAATGATATATCAACTACAGATTCTAGAACTTAAAAACAACATAATAATAAATTAAAAACTCCAGGTTATCATTACAAGAAAAACAGGTAAAAAGCAATGCAAATGCAAAAGCAGTAGCACCAACATAAAATAATATAAATTTAATAGTAGGATTGTTCTTGCTGCAGTTGATTGTGGTGGTGGTCAAATAAATGAACAGAAGTACAAAAGGCACATAGATATCTAGAAACATCAAACAAACTTACATTTGCCAGTCGGAAGGGACAAAACTTAGGCTTCCCCCTTCTTCCATACTTGAGCAAATATGCCCCTTTCTTGAGAGCAGTAATCGCCTGTTGTAAAGATCAGCCAAAAACCTAAATTAAACAAGTTCAGCACATTTGCCTATGTTCAAGGTAAAGTCACAGTAATAGGTTAAAGATCAAAAAAGTAGCAAAAATTTTATTGAGATGATGGGGACAAATGTGTAGTTACAAAGACTGCAGATGCAGAAGGAAGTTGAAGCCATATTGTATATACTGTAAAATCTTCATGGTTACTCAGTAAATGTCCATAGGATTTTAACATCAACCTTCGAGGAACATTATTCTATTGAGTTATGGTGCAATGCAGTAAGACCCCTCTGCAGGTCTCTAAGTGGTTCTTCATTCTTATCTCTCTTTTCAATGCATAAGGAACTAGCTGAAAACTTCTAGCAATAATAATAATACCAGTATTCTGGACAGTGATAATCTGAAAGTAAAAGATTTATAAGTGTTTTTTTTTTTCTTTTTTTTTTTTTGATGAACGGATATCCGGGCCAGTTTACGCACATCTTAACTAATCTGGGACTCATGCAAAGCACCCCCTCCACGTGAATCAGGCAAATCTCGGGTAAAGCCAGCGGACGTGGCCCAAGGAGTTGATAGCACCTAGTTGGAGATGAACCTGAGACCTGAAGGGAGCACACCCCCAAGCCCCAAGTTGCACCCACTAGGCCAACCCCTTGGGGTTTACACAAGGTTTTAAAAGGTAGCCGCAACCATTCCGTAACACCGTTAGGTAACGGTTGTGCTTGTTATCACCACCCGTTTCCGCCGCTATAGTGGTGTGACAGAAATTCATATGTGTAACTATTGTTTTGATGTTACGTAACGACTATTGCGGTACCATAACAGCTGTAACGGTCTATTACACACTTTTACAATGTTCTGAATAGCGTCATTACGCGGAAAAAAAAAAAGGCTTACAAAAAAATAACAAATACTCAAATGATCCAAGTCCAAAGAAAGAATCTTATATAAATTTTTTTTCTTTATAATTTACTTTATAATTTTTATTTCATTACATTAGCGTGCAATTTTTTTTTATTTTTCACACAATTTAAAAAAAAAAATTATTGATACGCATATATATTTTTTCTTCACAGTCACATTTATTGAGATTTAAAATATATTTTGATCAATTTTTGTTAGTTTTTAACTATGATCTAATATATTTCATATTTTTAAATCACTATAAAAGGAACTTTTTACATTTTATTTCAATAATTAATGACTTTAAGAATAATTAATTTTAAATGTCTACAAATTATTTTTGACCAATACCTAAACTAACTGAATAAAATGTTCACAATTATTAAATGAAATAATTATAAAAATAAAAATTATGCCATAAACAAAAATTATTTTTGAAGCATTTTTTTAGATAACGCTTTATAGCTAACTAAATAAAATTATTTACAATTAAGTATTAAATGAAATGATTATAAAAATAAAAATTGTGTCATAAACAAAAAAAAAAATTTGAGCTACTGATTTTATTTTATTTTTTCAATACATTTTTTATGCAACACATTACAGTAACAAAATAAAAAATATTTACAATTAAATATTACATAAAATGATTATAAAAATAAATACAACTACTGTTTATATATTTTTTATTTTACATGCCCAAGTAATGAAATAAATATTAAAAAATAAATTATAAAGAAAAAAAAATGTATATAAGATTTTTTATTTGAGCTTAGATCACTTGAATATTTGTTCTTTTTTTTTTTTGTAACCTTTTGTCTCTTTTTCTGAAAAGAAAGATATTTAGAATATTGTAAAAGTGTGTAACATACCGTTACAACCATTACATAACACCGAAACAACCGTTACACATATGAATTTCCATCACACCGCTGTAGCGGCCGTAACGGGTGGCGGTAACCACCACAACCATTACGTAACACTTTTTAAAACCCTAAGATTATATGTACAAGGGGACACATATTCACTGGTAAAAACTCAGCCAATCAACCTTGAAGTTGTGGGTTTGAACTTAAGGGCCACCAGTTTGGGCAAATAATGCCAAAGATTAAGTCTATGCTCAATCTCCCCCTCCTAGACCCTCATCCAATGGGGACTAAGCTGGACGAATTGTTCAAGATCATATGTGCCATTAAAGAAAATTAGAAACAGGTAGAAGTTGAGAAGTAAAGTGCCTACTTACCCAAAAATAAAAATAAAAATAGTATCAATTTCTGCCGCTAAAGCTTTTCCAAACAAGTTCTAACCAACCTAAATACTTCCCCTCCCTTTGGCCTTAAATTCTACACCAGAGCCCCCAAAATTAGCCACTGTTTTAAGAATTTTAGCACACTGTTTACAAAATCCAGCACACAGGAACTTTTAAATCCTAGCAAGTTACAAGTCCTTTCAAATCCCCAAAACCTCAATTGTTGCTTCCGCATTATAGGATCATAACTTAGGAAGCCACCCAGACACCAACCACAAGCAGCCTTGACTTAAGTTTCTTAAAGCTGTGCTGCACTACATCTTTTCTCGATAGCAGGCACCAAAACTTGAGAATATCCTAGATATGAGGCTTATACTACCCAAACGTATCCATAAATAGAACACACACCTTAGTTTTGAACATATATCTGAATGCTTCCAGAAAGATGTGTTCAACAAGATTGATAAAATGCCTTTCTAGAACATATTAATTATTTTAGAAAAAGCATTAACAATATTATACACTTGGACCAATTTTGAAGTGAGATCAAAGAGGATAAATGATTTGGAATCCAATCCAAATGTTTGGATCAATGTACATAATTCACGTTCACTTGGATGAAATTTAATATCGCATATTTAGAACTTAGAATAATAAAAATTTCATACTAGTGAGTAGGGGTGCTCACTGACCCGGATGATCTGCCAAACTGACCCGACTCGACCCGACCCAATACACCTGCTTTTTAAACGGATTAGGTGGTAGGACAGAAATTTTCCAAATCTGTCTATGTTCAGACGGATGGCAAATGAAAGACCCCCCAACCCAACCTATCCGCAAACCCTCCTTCAGAAAATGATGTTATATTTTTATCCTTTGTATGTTAAAAAAAGACATTTTATTTAATAATAATATTAACTATTTATGAAATATGAAAGTTATGGCTTTTATTTAAATTATAAAAAAATTTAGACACAAAAAAGGACTAAAATAGTAAAAAAATTACTCTAAAATAATTTTTTAAAAAACCTAAAATAGTAAAGTCCAAACCGCCAAATCGATCTGTATCCGCCTACCAACCCACATGGCCTGCTCAATCCGCATCAACTAAGCGGACGGATGCTTTTAGTTTGCTATTAGGCTTAATTTCTTTTATTTTTATTTTTTTCTCATTATTATTTTTTGTTTGGATTTAATTTTCTTATTTTTTTCTGCTTTTTAATTTCATTTTTCAGTACTTAAACATAAAAACAAAAACAAATCAAAATACAAATACAAATATTTACATAAAAAAAACACCCTTCATTTTTTTTTTCAGCCACACGCCGATCAAAATAATACAAAAAAAAAACCCTTCATTTTTTTCCGGCCATACGCCGATCTTACTTACTCGCCTCTTCCATTATTTTCTTCTTCTTTTTATCACCTTGGGCTACCCTTGATGCCCCTGCCCCCATGCTTTCGTCGAGAGCGACGACTCTCTGCTGACTATCAAAGGCCAAGAACGACGTTGCTCCAAATCGGGCCATGGAGGTGGTCTTTCGTTTAAGCTCTTTATTTTTGGCCTTCAGTGCGCCTATTTCTGCTCGCGCATCCTTGTACATGCGTTGGAGCAGAGAGAGTTGGGCGTTGAACTGATGGAGCTCACTCGTCCTGTTCTGCAATCGGTGAGCCAATTTTGTGACTGCAGTCACCGTCTCCATACAGGACGTCAGTGTGAAATGATTGGCTTCAATGTCTGATTGAGCTGCCATGATTTGCTCAATCGACATCATAAGAAGGTTAGGCAGAGGAATGACAGGAAGAGTAAGTGTAGGGGCACTCGGTCCAGCAGAGCTTATGAGATCGTTCAGGTCCAGAAACAGAGTGAGGGGACGGGATGAGAAAGCCATGGATTAGAGGTGAGACGTGTCAAAGAAATGAGTTGCAGAGAAATATAAGCGAACAGACTGAGGTTTGGCCTCCTCCATTCAGTTTGTTTGTCTCTCGATAAGGAAGACAAAACAGAAGAGAGTGGTGAAGAAAAGATAGAAGAGAATGGTGAAGAAGAAAATAGAAGAGTGTGTGATTAAGAAGGCAAAAAAGAAGAAGACAAGGAAGGAGAGGGAGCCGAGGCAAGTACAAATTGAGGCCTGTTTTTGTCCGCCAATGACGCAAAAGTGAGGCCGTGTGTCAAACGCGTTTATCGAAGGAAAAAGAGAGACGCGGGCGAGTTGTATATGTATATATATGTTTTGATACCATTTATCCCTATCATTTTCTTCCTCCTCCTCCTCCAGATCCTGACCCATAATTTCCTTTCGATAATGTCACAGGGGGAGAAAACTTATGGTGTCATGCTGTTCTGTATTATGGTATTAGTTTCAAATTATGGTATTATTTTCAAACTAATCTGATGTTATGTATTTATAGTTTGATATCTTAATCTTATATCATGTTGTTAATTAAAGCTTATTTATTACACATGTGCTAACCTATGTATGAGACAACAGCCAACTTGAGCATCCCAAAGTCGCCATTTTCAAACTCAAAAATTCAACAACATTATCTCCATATCTTGACAAGCATCATGAATCATGTTAATGTATAAGAAGATAATGAACAAGAAAATAATAAAAACAAAAACACTTTGAATAAAAAATCATCATATTAAGTTTTGTGAAGAGAGGTATTGCCAAAACATAAATCTTAAATTTCTTTAGGATTTTGATACCATTTATCCCTATCATTTTCTTCCTCCTCCTCCTCCAGATTCTGACCCATAATTTCCTTTCGATAATGTCAGAGGGGGAGAAAACTTATGGTGTCATGATGTTCTGTATTATGGTATTAGTTTCAAATTATGGTA